GATTTAATTTCTGTTCAAAGCTCTGGGAAGCATAGGGTAAACTTATAGTGTGTCAGTTTTCAAATAGGCCCAGTAGGCTTTTATCCCGCAAACATCTTTGCAGGTGAAGTATCTCTGAGTGTAAAGTGACGTCCAGCTGCTCATCTGGGAAATGAAGACATTCTTTCCCCTTTTCCCCTGGATTGCTGATTCCAGAAGGACATCTGAGTTACTTTCCTTGTTAGCCCACAGGCCACAGGAAGATAAGTGGATCCGGATGGGACAGGCTCGCGGTTCGGAACAGCTGCTTGCGTGCTGCTGGGCTGCGGTGCTGTGGGTCCCCCTCTGTGCTGTCGCTGGTGTTCCCAGCGCTTGGGTGTGGGGGGCTTTCTCGTCCCGTGTTTGCTTTTTTTAACCTTCTATATAGCTGTCAGGCTTTCAGCTGTCACTTGTCGTTAACATCACTGTGCTCACCACCTGATGCCCCCTTCTCACTGTTCCTATATTTAGTTGCTTCTGATCTGATTAGGGGGGAAAAACAAATGATAAGTAAGCCTGCTAGATTTTATTTCCAAAAGATGTAAATAAAAAGACTGATTGGGACTCTCAGAGCTCATTTTTAAAAACAACTCAACACTGGCTGCTCGGGGTCCCTTTCCTCCCCCTCCCTTCCTTGGGAGGCGTTTCCAGACAGACGTTGGTGAGGAAACGCATGCCTTGTCAGGGCATTACACCGTTGTATGACACCTTGAGTGCCTTTGGCCAAGTTATAAATTTGTTTTAGAGATGCTGGTGCGTTGTGGGCTGGATCTGAGCTGCTTCCAGTCTCCGCAGGCTTCGCCAGTGCCCGTGTGGCCCGTGTCACTGTGCCGACAGGCGTCTTTTCTCTGGCTTCCAGGTTACCTGCCCAGGGCAGGAGGATGTAGAAAGAACAGGAACTAGATGCTCGGGCTTTCTGTTTGCTTTAGATAGCCAGCTGTCCCTCAGAGACTTACAGTATGAGGAGAAGGTCTCCTCACGCACCTGCTCACTGTCTCCCGCGCTCTTCACTCTGTTGTAACCCAGGGTTTCACTCGGTGTCATTTCCCCCTTTGTCTGAAAACCTCCCTCGGACATTTCTGGGGAGTGCAGGTCTCGTGGTGGCATTCTTTTTTTGGTTTTGTCTGATTACATTTTTATTTAGCCTTTATTTTTAGAAGATATTTTTGGTGGAGAGAGAATTCTAGGTTAATAGTTTCCTGTCACCGTTTTCAAGATGCTGTTCCATTGTCTTTCGGCACACAGTCTCTGATGAAGCCTCCTGTCACCTTGTTCCTGTGTACGTAACGTGTTCTTTCTTCCCTTGGGCTCCCGCGGGGAGTGCAGTTTCCTGTGCGTTTGATGCCTCTTACTATCCCACAGGTCTGAGTTTCTGCTCCTCCTGTTTATTTTTCTCGGGCTTTCTTTTTTCTGTCCCTTAGCTTAACTTCGGTTAACTTTTTTTGCTATGTGTTTAAATTCCCTGATTTTTTTTTCAGCTGATGATGTCTGATCTGCATTTATCCCATTCAGTGATATTTTCATTTCAGATACTGTGTTTTCTTAGTTTCCAGAAGTTCCATTTGGTCCTTTTAATTAAAAAACCCTTAGGGGCGCCTGGATGGCTCAGGCAGTTAACCCTCCAACTCAGCTCAGGTCATGATCCTGCAGTTTATGGGTTTGGGCCTTGTGTCAGTCTCTGTGCTGACAGCTTGGAGCCTGGAGCCTGCTGCGGATTCTGTGTTTACCTTTCTCTTTGCCCCTCCCCCACTACTGCTCTGTGTCTCTCAAAAATGAATAAAAATGTTAAAAAATTAAAAAAAAAAAAACCCTTTTTTTCTCATGATGTCTGTTTGGTTCCTTTAATATTTGGACACAGTTGTAGCAGTTTTAATGTTATTACCTGCTAGTTCCATCCTCTCTGTCATTTCTTTACTGGTCGCTATTTGCTGATGTTTTTTCCCTCATGATTGTGTGCCACGTTTTCTTGTGTTGATGAAATTTTGATTAGGTGTTGTGTATTGTGAATGCTGCATTGTTAAGTGTCTGAATTTTGTTGAGTTCCTTTAAAGAATGTTATGCTTTGCTTTGGCAGAGCAGGTTTGGTTTTGTTTTTAAGAGAAAGAGCATGCGTGCATGGTGGGAAGGGGCAGAGGGAGGTAGAGGGAGAGAATCCCAAGTAGGCTGTACCCTTGGCATGGAGCCTGACATGGGGCTGCGTCCCACGGCCCTGGGATCCCATGACCTGAGGTGAAATCAGGAGTGGGACCTCAGCTGGCCGAGCCACCCGGGTGCCCCTGGCGGAGCGGTTTTAAGTTACCAGCCGATCTAACCCCTCGAGGCCGGTTTTTAAACTTGGAGAGGGTGGGCTTGGTGTGCCGTGCCCTCACAGGGTCTCACAGAATGCCTTGGGTGAGTCTCCAAGAACACTGTGCTCTGGTGCGGCAGTGGAACACCCTCCTATGCTGTGCGGAATTCCGGGGTTTCCGGGCCGTCTTCGCCTTCCCTTGTGTGTGGGATTGCTCTCCCACATGCATGGGCTACTTGGTACACTTCTGGAGCTCTCTTTCTGTGTACTTCCTGTTTCCTAGCACGCTGCCTGTACCTACCGCCCCCTCTGCCTCCCTGAACCCTGACCTTCCTTTTCTCAACCTGGCGAGGCCTCCCAGTTCAGCGTGGGGTCCCCTTCCTTGTACCCGGTGGTCTGGAAGCTCTCTCCAGGCCGGAAGTTGGGTGACTCTGTAGCTCACCTTGTCTTCTTCCCTCTCAGGGCTCACGATTCTGCACCGTCTCTTGTCCCGTCCAAAGTAGTTGTTTTACCTACTTTGTCCGGTTTCTGGCTGTTTGCTGAAAGAGGTTGGGTCTGGTCTTTGCTAGTCCATCATTGCTTCAATAGAAATTCCAGGGAATCCAGTGGCACGGGCCCTCTGAAAATAATTGTCACTAAGCGAATATAGTTCTTGGTGAAGCGCCTGCCCATGTTAGAAAAATTACAGACTTTACACGAACTTCTGAGTGAAGCATAACGGTGTCTTCACTTCACCTCTTCCATATGCACCCGTCCCACAGACGGGAATGTTCCTGTAATGATTAGAGCTTCCCTGAGGGCGGATGGGTTGAGAACAGCTCTTGTCACCGCTACTACTGGCAGTGCTCCGTGAGCAGCCTTCTCTTTCAGTTGTTCTCGTCCTTTACATCACACGTGGTTTTACTCTGAGAAGGGGCCTCGTGAATGTGCTTGCAGTCTAAGAATCACCTTTTGGATTCACATGGGAAGTTGATGCTATTAGACCACCGAACATCTGAATCGGGAAAATCGATGTGTGTATTGAAGGAACCATCTGCAAAAGAGGATTGCTTGATACGGCGAGCTAAGAGGTTTAAAGACTTGTGGAAGGAAGCTAATTTGCCCAAGGATGTGCATTTAGAACAATGGATCAGCTCCCAGCAGTGTTGAATAAAAGAAGCCATGTAATGTGAAGTGGATTGTTGGTGACTTGTGGGGTCCACAGTAGACACAAGACTTGACTGTTGATAGTTGAGCCAACAAGCCCACAGGTCAAGAAAACAGACTGGTATTTGTGTTTTCTGGTCAACAGTGATGTACTTCAGATGGATTGGAAAAGATGTAGTACCCTTATTTAGAAATATAAATATTGCCAGCTACAGATGTTTGTTTCCTTTTTCTATTTTAAATTATTCTTAGGTTCTTTGTTTAGCCTCCTGAATGACTCACAGTTGCCGTATAAGCCCCTGGTACTCTGTATAAGTGCACCCTGATAGTGTTAATTCTGTGCCATCCCCATGTTGTCCTAAATATGTTGATTTTTGTTAAAGCCCAAAGATGTTTTTTTCTTTTTTCTTTTTTTTAAAAGTTTATTTATTTTGAGAGAGCACATGCAAGCAGGAGAGGGGCAGAGAGGGGGGAGAGAGAGAGAGAATCCCAAGCAGGTTCAGCGCGGTCATTGTGCAGAATGCAACGTGGAACTTGAACTCAGTAAACCATGAGATCGTGGCCTGAGCCGAAATCCAGAGTCAGATGCTTAACTGACTGAGCCACACAGTGCTCTTTTCTTTCTTCTTTTTAGTTTTAAATGCAGCCTGAGGAATGTTCCTTGGATCCACTAATGCTTAGAAAATTAAGGAATTAATGAACTGAAGAAACAATGCTCAACTCCACTAAAAGAGAAATTGCCGAGGAAGCATTTTTTTTTCCTGCCTGTCAAACTGGTTGACATTTAAAAATGATAATACTGTGGTGGCAAGGGTGTGACCAGATGGGCACGTCTTTGAACTTCCAGGAAAAAGAAAATTCATGACCTTTCTGCAAATAAATTTGGCAGTGTATGCTAAAAATTTTAATACTCTTTGACCCAGTAGGTATTGCTTCTAGGTTTTTTTTCCTTAAAAATTGTTAGAAATTTAAACAAAAATGGCAGTAGGAAGATATTTGTTGCAGTGTTATTTCTAACAGTGACAAATCAGAACAACCCTGAGTGACTAACGACGAGACTATTTCAGTTGTGGTATTTCCTCATTACAGAGTACCATGCAACCATTAAGGCAGCATTTGCAAAGAATATTTTATCACATGGGAAACTGCACATATTTGAAATAAGCAAAATGCCAAATGATGTATAGTCTCTCATCAACTGTTATTTAAAAAAATGCATGCAAAGAATGGTCAGGAATATGCCAAAATGTTGAAGTAACTGCATTAGGTGGTGGTTTTATGAGAGATTATTTTCTTCTTTATGTTTTCTCTGTTTTCCAAAATTGGAGCAGGAGAGCATTCTAGATATGTGAAAGCAAACATGATGTTTGCGTCTGCATTCTGGACTTACCTAAGGCCTTTCTAGACCATGGACTGGCACCTCACATCCCAAGAGTAGGCACACCGTTCATCTCTAAGGCTAGTTTGTTGTTTTACATTCGGGTGGAAAAGCACCTTTTGTTTTGTTTTGCTGCTTTTTAAAACAATGATTTCTCTGCTTACTCTTCAGATAAAAATTTTGATGATGAAGATTCTGTGGATGGTAATAGACCTTCCTCTGCTAGTTCTACATCCTCCAAAGCTCCACCCAGCTCACGGAGAAATGTAGGAATGGGGACCACCCGCCGGCTTGGGTCCTCTACGCTTGGATCCAAGTCTTCAGGTAAGGCCATGCCATGTGGGGGGCTGTAGAGTCGGCTCTGCTGGCGATTAAAACCCGATGTGTGTGCTGCTCGCCCCCGTGCCCGTAGGAGTGGAGTGGTCCTGTGTGCAGCATGTTTCTGCTCACTGTGATTTTTAGTAGTCCTCTGCTGTCCATGCTGACGGGGTAGAAGTGTGAGCCACTGTGTGGCCACGTTTTGGTGAGGGGGAGCCCACGGGAGAAGACGAGCAGCTCCTCTGTGCCAGCTTGTCTGCACCAGCCTCTCTGCACCAGCTTCTCTGTCCATGTTAAATAGCGGTGCTGGTGGCTGACAGTGGTGTTAACACCGCAGTAACAAGGGGACAGGGGCGTTCAGACCACAGATGGCAGGACTGGGGCGTTCACACCACAGATGGCAGGAGGACTGGGGCATTCACACCACAGATGGCAAAGAGGGCGGGTGTGTTCACACCACAGAGGGCAATAGGACCGGGGTGTTCACACCACAGATGGGCAGGAGGATTGGAGGCATTCACACCACAGTGGCAGGAAGTCATGGGTGTTCACACCACAGATGGAGGGAGGACCGGGGTGTTCACAGTGGCAGGAGGATGGAGGTGTTCACACCACAGATGGCAGGAGGATGGGGTGTTCACACCACAGGTGGCAGGAGGATGGAGGTGTTTACATACAGATGGCAAGGGGTCCAGGGCATTCACACCACAGATGGTAGGAGGACCAGGGCGTTCACCCTGCAGAGGGCAAGAGGACAGGGGTGTTCATACCCCAGATGGCAAGAGGACCAGGGCATTCACACCACAGATGGCAGGAAGGTAGGGGTGTTCACACCACAGGTGGCGGGAGGGCCGAGGCATTCACACCACAGTGGCAGGAGGATGGAGGTGTTCACACCACAGAAGGCAGGAGGACCAGGGCATTCACACCACAGAACCATAGATAATAGGAGGACGGGGGCGTTCGCACCATAGACAGCGGGAGGACGGGGACATTCGCACCACAGATGGCGGGAGGAAGAAGCTGTGCCTTTGTTGGTGTTCTTAGTCCTTTTTATTTGTCTGTGTCTGTGTGTGTATGCTTGTAGGTTTTTTGATGCATTAAAAAATTTTTTTGTAATTGAGTTTAAAATCACAAAATGTAAAGTTAACTTTTATTTATTTTTTAATATTTTTTAAAAGTTTACCTATTTAATTTTGGGAGAGAGAGTGTGCCAGCAGGGAGGAGGGGCAGAGAGAGGAAGAGGGAGAGTATCAAGCAGACTCTGCAGGGTTAGCAGGGTGCCTGATGTGGGGCTTGAACTCATGAAACTGTGATGACCTGAGCCGAAATCATTAGTCACACGCTCAAACTGACTGAGCCACTCAGGTGCCCCAGATTAACCATTTTAAAGGTAACAATCCAGTGGCATTTCATACATTCACAATGTTGTGCAGCCACCACCTTTGTCTAGTTCCAGAAGAGCTTTTCCCCTCCCAAAAGGAAGCCCCAGTCCCTTTAAACAGTCGCTCCCCATTTCTTCCTTCCCCCATTCCCTGGCAATCAGCAGTCTGCATTTTTGCCTCTAGGCATTTGCCTGTTGTAGATATTTCAGAGAAACGGAGTCATGTAAATGTGATCTTTTGTGTCTGGCTCCTTTCACGCAGTGTAATGTTTTTACAGTTCTTCTGTGTTGTAGCATGTACCAGTATTTCATTCCTCTGTGACTGAACAGACTTTCTCATCTTTTATTAGCAAAATTTATTCTTGGGGGCATCAGTTCCACAAATGAGGCTTAGAAAATTTCTGCATCATCAGACCCCTTTTGTTTCCTTCCTGTCCTGCACCCGTTCCCCTTCCAAAACTCCCAGCTCTAGATTATGTAGAGATTTCAGCCCTGCTCTTAATCCTTTTTTCCGTTTTGTTTAATGCCATAGTCTTGAATTTCCTTGTTGACTCCTCCTTGTCTGATTCTGGGGTTCATGGACTGTGTTTGGTCTCTGTTAGTTCACTTTGGTATGTGGGTCCCTGGTGTAGCACTTACCCAGGGCCGCGCTCAGGACCTGTCTGCTCAGGGGTGTCTAGTCTCTGTACCAAAAGGAGCACTGAGCACCAAGTCACAGTGTGATGTTGCTGTCATCTGACCATAGCTTGTGAACTCAGTGTAAGGAATCTTCATCAAAAGTGAGGACACACATTTATTGCTCCCAGAATCGTCTTTAAAGCCCTGTCTGTGTTTGAGGACCCCAAATGCCAGATAACTTGTCTGCACAGAAACACTGGGAAGCCACTCACACTAATTAGTGTAAATCGCTAATAATGAGGGTTTCAAGGGTGAACTTAGACCCCAGTTTTAAAACCTGTATTCTGAAAGAACAAAAAACCAAAAAAGATTTGATAAAATGTCACATGATTTTCATGTGTGAAGTAGAATTCATTTTAGCAGAAGAAAAAACTCTCTCCCAAATGATAGCAATTAACCTTTCAGTGTACAGAGCATCTTACAACACCTTTATGAGGGAAAATTCTTACTGGTGCCTAAGTAGAAAATTGACCCAGTTATCATGCATTCAAGGAATTGAGAGTAATACAAAGTTGAAATGAAATGTTAAATTCTTCAGCACTTATTTGAATATTTCACACTTTTGTTATACTAGATGCCTAAAAATAACATAACCTAATTTATTCCCCGAAGGATTAAATTTTCTATTATATACCCGTTTATTAGATTCAGAAACGACTGCAGTATAATTGATCTATATCCCTTAAAGGCTAAATGTCCTTCTTAGCAAGTAGTCTCTTTAAGTGACGTTACGCTAACGTATATGGTATTGTAGAATCACGACATTTCATCTCGAAATTCAAAGCTAGTAATGTTTGTCAGTTCCACAACACTCTAAATTTTTATTACGCCTTTAAAAAAAGTTACAAATCTTCTATAATGTAATGGAGATTGTGTGTATTCAGACTACCTCTGTGCACACTGTTCACGTTTTGAAAATTAATCTTTTTTATAGCTGCAAAAGAAGGAGCTGGTGCTGTCGATGAAGAGGACTTTATTAAAGCATTTGATGATGTACCTGTAGTACAGGTGAGTGAGGGTATTTGAGTCTGATTAAAAACAGATAGGCTTCCCTTCAAATTTCAGTTTTCAAATACGTGATATGTGAGGTCCCTGCCTGGGCAAGTTATTTTTTACCTCGAGACGACGAGATGACACTCGTGCCTTTTATGGCCGAAATGAAGAGCAAAGGTCAAAGCCCAAAGTGATCATTCAGTAGGGACCAGAGAGAAGCTGCTTGCTTGATCTAGTAATATGCTTGTGGGTTAGGTCATGTAAATAAAAAAAAAAAAAAAAAAAAAATCAGTGATTAGGTGTGAGAACAAAGAAATATGCCTGGAAAAAATTGTAAATTTCAGGGACCGGGGTGTCTGAAAAGCTATGAAGACGGGATTAATGAAAGCTCAAGGTAGTGCCACCTTGATGCTTTATTTAAGTGCCTGACAGATGAAGCAGAGATTACTTGTAAGATTGGGGTATACATATATATATATTTTTTAATATTTTACATATATATATTTTTTAATATTTTTATTTATTTCTAGGAGAGAGAGAGAGACAGCATGAGCAGGAGAGGGTCAGAGAGAGAGGGGGATACAGAACCTGAAGCGGGCTCCAGGCTCTGAGCTGGTAGTCAGCACAGAGCCCGACGCGGGGCTCGAACCCACGAACCGCGAGATCATGACCTAAGCGAAAGTCGGATGCTTAACCGACTAAGCCACCCAGGCGCCCCGGGGGTATACATATTTTAACTGCGTGGAGCCTCAGTGTCCTCCGTTGGGGCCTGGGGGCTAATGACACTTGTCCTCAGCCTGCATTGAATGTGGTGCTCTGCCTGCGTGAATCACTTGTTACCTGTTGCTTGGTTGCCATACGGACCATAAATCAGATAACCCGGCATCATAGGCTCAGCTCAGGCTCATCCTTCCCTTAAGTCCTTGACGTTCCCAGCTTGCATCATTGTTAGCTGATTATTCTCCTACCTATCTTATTAGTAAGATGTGAGCATAAATGAAAAAGAGAGTTGAAGAGTTGAAGTAACAAATGTGGTGTTATAAATAAGACTGAAGGTAATAAATGACCTGTGTATCATTGACAGTTCCCCATCGGCTTCTTTCTCTTCTGTACATGAGGTCACCTGTTAAGTTTATGGTGAAGCTGTTCTTGAAACCTTGCTATCCATATTTGGGAATTGAATCTAGTGGGTATATATTCCCAATGCCCAATGGAAGGAAGCTCATTCTAGAGGTTATCTCATAAATCCTTCTGAAAAATGAAATTATTTTTTTTTTACTGTACTTACCAAATACTCTTGACTTCGTGCAATTAAAAACTAATCTTTGCTTATTCTGTAAATTTTCTTACATTGGTTCTAAATTAATTTTGCTTACAGATTTATTCCAGCCGAGACCTGGAAGAATCCATAAACAAGATTAGGGAAATATTATCTGATGACAAGCATGACTGGGAGCAAAGAGTAAATGCTGTAAGCTGTTGACTTCATGTGATTACATTTTCATTAGATTTATTTAAATGTTCTAAATACTGAATTATGCAATTGGGGTATAGATCTGATAAATTTTAAGTAGTAAATATTTTAAATATAAATTACACTTAAATACATTTACATTTAACCCTTTTAGTAGAGTACCTCATTTCTCTTTCTGTTTTTAAAACGTGCCAACCTGTGCCTTTAAATACATCCTGTACTTTAAAAAAAAGATCTAATGTGGACCCTCTGGAGACAGCCTCCACTCTTGCCTTAGTCAAGATTTAATTGTGATTGTGGCCGGTAAGTCGGCTTTTCCTAGTGGCATCTTCAGTGTGTATCCATCTCTTCCTTTCTTCCTTCATATCACTTGTTAGAAAGTTCTCTCCCCTCTATTTAAAAAAGTGGGTTAATGAAATGTAAGGGGAACATTAAAGTGAGGGTGTATCTTTCTTATCTGAGGAAAGCTATTTTACAGTCGTTGGCTGGTAGGAAGTTTGGCCATCAAATTATTGCTACATTCCATTTAAACTCAGACTACCCTTTAAGTAATCCTATAGCAGAGGGTACTATACAGCCGACTGTAGGATTGCTTCTTTCTGTGAGTCATTCAACTAATGGCAGTTAAGAGTTGGGTGTTGGGGATTGGAAGCTTTAGGGGAGGAACTAAAATGTTTCTAGTTAAAATGCCTATTTTATAGAATTGTGAGATACTACGTTTAACACTTATTATTTGTGGTATGTAGATCTGCTCAGTATGGTAGCTGACACCGAAATGGATGAATTCTTTTGGGAAAACTTTTGTTATCTGTTAACTTTGATATTGATTTCTCACATTTGATGGCTTTGTTTCTTATGTCCTATTTTAAGAATTGTGTGTGTCTCTTCATTTTCTCATTTTCTCCGTCCCACCAGCTAAAAAAGATCAGATCTTTACTTTTGGCTGGTGCTGCTGAGTATGATAACTTCTTTCAACACTTGCGTCTTTTGGATGGAGCCTTTAAACTATCTGCTAAGGACCTGCGGTCTCAGGTAGTGCGGGAAGCTTGTATCACGTTGGGGTAAGGACCATCCTGCTTCAGATTCTCACACATGCTAAGGTAGTCCATCGAGGTGTGTCAGAGATGGTGCACTGAGAGTGCCCCGCGGGTCTCTTTAACGTGTGTCCTGACTGGTCTCCAAGACCTATTCCGTTTATACGTCTGTTGCTCTTACAGTGTTAACTGTATTTCCTGCCCAGTTATGTTAAGTTTGACAGATTTTAAATGTTATTCAGTGACTCAGCTCTGAAGCCTCTATTTTAAACTTGGAGCAATTATCATTAATAATGCAGAAAAAAAATATTATAAACTTGCACCTCAGCTTTTTCATTGATTTTGCTGGCAGGATATAGCATGATTATTAGAATTTTTGTTTGTTTCTAGAAGACAACTGTATCTATAGAGTAGAAAGTCAGAGGCAGATACTACAGTAAAATCTTACCCTAGCCAGAACCGTATAGTGTTTGCAGCTGGAACTTCTGTGTTGAAAAGTGTGTCAGGGTTGGTATCAAAGCAGCAGCAGCAGCGGGCTGTTTACACCTTCGCCTAGTGTCAGACACGGAAGCATGTGTATAGTACGTGTGAAAGGTTTTTAACAGGCAAAAGGGAAGGAGGGTGAGGGAGCCCTCTCATTTTTATATTTAATTTATATGATCAATTTTTACTTTGCTATTTAAAAAAATTTTAACGTTATATTTATTTTTGAGAGAGAGAGAGAGCAAGCTCACAAGTGGGGGAAGGGCAGAGAGAGAGGGACAGAGGATCCGAAGCAGGCTCCACACTGACGGCAGTGAGCCCGGTGTGGGGCTTGAACTCATGAACCGTGAGATCATGCCCTGAGTCGGAGTCGGACATGCAACCAACTGAACCACCCAGGCACCCCTGTCTTCTGCTATTTTAAGACCAATTAGATGGAAATGGTTTATTTAAAAAACAAAAGGAACGAGCTCATGGGCTAATGTCTGTTGGCCAAGCCCACAGCATGCACATGGGCAATATTTTTAACTTACTTAGACCCTTGCTTTTTATCTCCAGATAACTTTAAACGAAAGCCTTACATAATGTTCAGAGGTTTCTATGTTTCACTGTTTGCAAGGAATGCAGCTACAGTGCAGTATTCATTTCTTGTTGTAGGCATCTGTCGTCGGTTCTGGGAAATAAATTTGACCATGGAGCTGAAGCCATTATGCCAACTATCTTTAATTTAATTCCAAACAGTGCCAAAATTATGGCCACTTCCGGTGTTGTAGCTGTTAGGTTAATCATTCGGGTAAGTATATTTGGGGGCCGTACATAGAATAAGCAAATGGCAATAACTGATGGTTGATAAGCAGTGCTGGAGGCATTTTTCATTAGCAAGATTATATACAGTTGGAACCAGGTTGTACATACAAATCAGCCTCCCCCTCAGTGATCCTATATGAGACTTTTTTTTGACTCCATAATGTGAATTATGGATATGGTGTATACCTATTGATGTGTTGATTATTTATTCATCGTTGGCTTTAAATATTTGAGTGTCTGCATCTGCTTCTGGGGTTACACTTGGTTCTTTATCCCCAGTCATTCCATTCTAGGTATTTGTGCTGTGGCTTTGTTAATTCACCTAAAGTTTTTATTTAATTACTTGTGTTTAAGCCCAGGGACAAAGTGTTCTTTTCAGGTTTCTAAACATTCATTTATTTAAGTTTAAATAATTATCCAAGTAATTTATATACATGTTTCCATTTAAACCTAATAGCTCACAAAGGCTTAAAATGAACATTCTCTGCATCACCTTCTCCCCACCTTCAAGTCCGTTTTCCCCAGAGGCAACCTTTGAAACTGGGACTTGGTGATGCTAAAATCTACCCAGAATACTCCTGATTGTGGGTTACTTATTTGTATTATTTTTAGTTCTATTTGCACTGCCTACTTGAAATAATAAACCCAAAGCCATCATTGAATATTCCCATTGAAACAGTAGCAAAACACATTGCTCTGCTGACCCCTTTTGAACTCACTTAGATCTCCACTGCCAGATTATTTAGACTTCCCACCAGGGATTTGTTTTGCTCTTAGATTTATTTACATATCATTGGGTGCTTTGTTTGGGCTCTGTGAATTTTGTCCTGGCCTTTGGCAATACCCAGTGGAATTTTTTTCCTTTTTAAGCTCAGCGACATTCTAATCTGAATATATATGTGCTTTAGGTAGTTTACTAAGGAAATGGTTGTCTTAGTTTTTAGTTTTGTATTTTCAAGTGCTCACCTCTGTTTTTGTTCTTCTCTGCAGCACACACACATCCCTAGGCTAATACCTGTCATAACAAGCAACTGTACCTCTAAGTCTGTCGCAGTTAGAAGGTAAATTTTTAAACAGCTTTCTTGTTATTTTTGAATTGTTTAAAAACCAAAGTAAGTTCCACATTTCCCTCCATGGAAACAAATTCATGTTTGAGATGTTAAAGTTATTTTAAGATCACAGCAATACCTTTGGATTGAGGGATCATGATCTAAATAGTCTGGAAAATAAATTTGGACAACCTCCATTATTTGTGTGTGTGTGTGTGTGTGTGTGTGTGTGTGTGTGTGAGAGAGAGAGAGAGACAGAGAGAGACAGAGAGAGACAGAGAGGGAGAGGGAGAGAACGTATGTCTGTCTGTGAGTTAATGGAAAGGGATTCTGGAGAGAGTGAGGTAGAAGACAGCCTATACATTTTTTCTGAGATAGTCCCTCTACCTAAGTCGTTGGTGTACCCCTTTGAATGAAAGCAGTAGTTGCACGCAAGGAAAAGAAAAACGTTATAAAAGTTAATGGTAGCTCTTTACTACTGACATAGGTAGGAGGAGGCAGATGTTCTCTCTGCCTTCTGACTGTGATTTCTGGGATTCTGAATCCTGGCCAGGAGACACCACCCAGGTAGCTAGGTCTTTGTTCTCTGCCTCAGCTTGTGTCCGTGCGAGTTGCCCTAGATCACATCCCAGGAGTAGGGCCTCTTCTAGCTGGGATCTGTGCTTCTTGACTGCTGAGACTCTAATAAAATCTGTGGCCCCATTCCCAAGAAAATGTAAACGCACACACTATTTTATGTTGATTTTTGACGGGATTCGTGGACATCAGTGGACCTTATCAGGAGCTTCCTAGGGTAAATTAATGGCTGGCCTGGGCAGCGGACTCTTGACCACATTTCTGAAGTTCTGTGTCTGATCCTAGCCCAGTGGAAGAGCCCTTTAGTCTGAGCTTGGAACCAGCTTACTTTTGCTGCCCTCCATCTCCCTCCTTTGCTGGCATGTCACATTGGCTGTCGGGTTTCCACCGTAGGGGAACCTGCTGAGCATGAGGTGGCCTGATAGCCATCTTATTAACAGCTCTGTGGGAGTCATGAGGGAGCAACACGGAATCATCCACATTTGTAAAGCCAGGAAGGAAGAAATTGGCGCCTTCCTCTCTAACTGTGTGGCTCACTTGTACGTCACTGAGGAACGCAGTCTCCCCTTGACCCGCAGTTCAGCCTCTCCTTCCGGAGATGAGAGGGATGGTAGTGAACTTCAGAACCTGGAGGACTGCAGCTGAGGCATTACCTCTTCCACTGACTGATCGTCTGACCCGCTGGGACCCAGAATATCCCTGAGGCAGAGCTGTTCTGGGGGTTCAGTCATTGAGTAAGGGGGTTCAGCACCTAGTATTAGCTTAATAAACGGTACCAATCATTAGAATTTGTTGCTGCTGCTGCTGCTGCTGCTGTCACTATGGTTTTAGGTTTTCTGAGAGAACATCAGAATGTGTAAGACCAGGTTCCTCCGATGAGTGGCACGGATGTTTGTTGCAGGATGTTAGTGTCTTAATCGGCCTGAGCCGCCACCTCGAGATCCCACGTACTGTGTGGTCCACAGCAGAACTGGGTTTCCTCACAGCTCTGGAGGCTGGAGATCTGAGATGAGGGTGCCAGCGTGGTTGAGTTCTAATGAGGTTGCTTGCAGGTGGCCGACCTCTTGCTGTGTCTTCACATGGCAGAGAGAGGTGGCACGCCGTATGGGGTTTTGTCTTAGAAGGGCACTGGCCCACTCATGAGAGCCCTCCTCTCATGAACTCACGTGAACCTAATGACCTCCTGAGGACCCCCTCTCCAGATAGCATCATGTTGGGCATTAGGACATGGGAATTTGGTGGAACAGTGTTCAGTCCACAGAATTTAGCGATTCTGGCCTTTGCTGCTAAACAAGTAGTAGCCTAGACTCACTGTGACAATAGAGATGTCTCCCCCTTTACCACTTTCAGAGTCACACAGATTACTGTTCTTACATTTAGTCAGAGTACGTATCAGTCAGAACCTCGTGTCGTAATGCTGAAAGAAGTTACAGGGACCTTCTGGTCCCTTTGCTTGCAGATAGGTAACGAGAACCAAGGAAGTCATCGTAATCCAGGAAGTGCACTGCTGTCAGGTCCTCAGCCAGTACCTAGCTCTGCTTCGTAGAAGTTGTGAGAAATGGATCTCACAGTCTCCCTGCCTTTGAGGAGGTTTATCATTTAGGTAGGGAGATTAAAAACAATAATGCAAAGCAATGTAAGAGTGAGTTACAACACCCGTAGCGGGGACTGAGGAATTTAGAGAGCAGTGATTAAAACCAACTGGTATATTCCAGTGCCGCTTGATAGGCAGGTTGAAAATTGAGTTGCATTTCGAATGATGAGCAGGAGTTGGTAAAGAAAAGGGACGAGTCCTAACCTGATGTGTTTAAATAATGATATGTTAAATGATGCCAACGTTGATAATACTTCTTTGTTAATCTGAAAAGTGGAAAATAAAACCCAACTTAAAGGTCATCTTTTTTATTAAATTGATTGTTCTCACACACATTTAAGGCCAGAATTAGCACCAAAGACGGCAGTATTCACTGAGAGATAGATAAATATAAACATGTGCACACATGTTAAAGAAAAAGAGAGACCAGAAAAATCAGACCGGAAATGACCTGAGGAATGGAGGAGGAGTAGAATAAACATGGCCTAGGTTGGAGCCAGGGTGGGGGAGTGACAGAGGAGAGAGGGTGTGGGTCAGTGTCCTTCCTTGGAGAAAGTTTGCTTCACAGCCACCCTGCGCGCGCGCGCGCACGCACGCACACACACACACACACACACACACACACTGTTGGCAGCCCCCAGTCTGAATGGCTCTGTGTGCGTACGTGTACACACACACACACACACACACACACACACACACACACACACACACACACTCTGTTGGCAGCCCCCGGTCTGAATGGCTCTGTGTGCTTCTAAGAAGAGCTCCCTTGTGCTCCAGCACATGGGAACTGCTCCTTGTCTGTCTTGTTTGCTGGTTTATGTCTTGGTTACCATTGTTATCTCTAACATCTAGGGTAGGTTTATTAAAGATTTACTGAGTAATTAATTATATGGATTATGAGGTTTTGAATTGAGAGGATCATGGGAACGAAAGTCTTGTCATTAGAGAAAAATTACCCTCTTCCTTGTTTCCTTGAAGGAGTCCCTGAGACAGCTAAGATTTACCCCCACAAAGAGAAAGACCCTGGACTGGACTCTGAAAAGTTCTAACAAAGTGGGACCCAAAGCAGTGATGTAATCCAAAGGAGATGAGACCAGAATTGTTTTTGTGCACAAATCAGACCAAGACAGATTACAAAGGTGAAAAGGCTTGACGAGAAGGGATGTTGAGAGATTAAAGAGAGGAAAATAGATGAGTAATTCGGGAAAAATCCGTTTGAAGCACTACCTAGGACCTTAGGAAACTTTGGAAAGCACTTGGTTTTTCAGGGTATTTTTTACCTTTTTTTTGGTACAAGGCACTCTGTGAAGTGGATGCAAGAAGCGATTGCTTGTTTCTGTAATAACATACACTGATCTTCTTTGCACTTGTACATCTGGTATGAACATGTTCTTTGAGGTGGTATAAAAACAAATGGCAGGGGTGCCTGGGTGGTTCAGTCGGTTAGGCGTCCGACGTCGCCTCAGGTCATGATCTCACGGTTTGTGGGTTAGAACCCCACGTCGGGCTCTGTGCTGACCGCCAGCTCAGAGCCTGGAACCTGTTTCGGATTCTGTGTCTCCCTCTCTCTCTGACCCTCCCCTGCTCACGCTGTCTCTCTCTCTCTCAGAAATAAATAAAACATTAAAAAAATTAAACAAAACAAATGGCAGTGATAGGCTCTTTCAGTAATGTTGCCACAAGGCCGCAGTTTCTGATTTGAGGGGGACTTTTGTATCCTGTCTCTTCTATGTCTGTGTTTCTGCTTTCTGATCACATAGATACTTGATTAGGTTCTCAGTCACTGTGGATTCCAACTCTATGTTCCATTTTTTGAAACTTAGTAATTACAAGGAATTTACCAGTTCCAAAAAGTAGTGTGGGAAGAAAAAAAGCTTTTATATTCTGTAACATAAAAATGACTAAATGATACATTTTTTTCTTCACAATCTTTAGGCGCTGTTTTGAATTTTTAGATTTACTTTTACAAGAATGGCAGACACATTCACTGGAACGGTAAGCATTTCATTGGCTGTTTTTCCCCCTCTGAATTGAATCTTGATATTTAATGTCTCAACAAGTGGTCCAACGTGCTTTTTTGTAGCAATCAAAGGAATCTAAGCATTTCTTTGCATGACTACATCTGTTATTTCTACTGATGCAAGGCACTTAATATTGGCAGAAGCTTTTAGTGAATTTTATTGATGACGGTGTTGTGTGCCTAGAGATGTGGACCAATGTGCAGCATACCCTACGAAGCCACAGTTAACCTTTTTAAAGTTATTTTTTAATTCCTGTATAGGTAACATCCTGTTACATTAGTTTCAGGTGTACAACAGTAACTCAGTAATTCTGCACATGTTCATGCTTCTCATGATAAGTGTCCTCTTAATGCCCTTCATCTAGTTCCCCCATTCCCCCACCCACCTCCCCTCTGACAACTGTCAGTTTGTTCTCTCTAGTTGAAGAGTCTGTGTTTTAGGGGAGCCTGGGTGACTCAGGTGGTTAGGCATCTCACTCTTGGTTTCAGCCCAGGTCATGATCTCATGGTTTTGTGAGTTCGGGCCCCATATCCAGCTGGCCACGTGCACAGCCTGCTTGGGGTTCTTTCTCTCTGCCCTTCCCCCACTCATGTTGTCTGTGTCTCTCTCAAAAATAATAAACTTTAAAAAGTTTTTTAAAAGAGTCTGTTTTTTTTTAATTTATCTCTTTTTTTCTTTGTTTAGTTTCTTAAATTTCATATATGAGTGAGATCATATGGTATTGGTCTTTCTCTGACCAACTTCTTTCACTTCCATTATACCCTCTAGATATCTAGGTCTCGATCTGTCCATGTTGTCACAAATGGCAGAATCTCCTTCTTTATGGCTGAGTAATAATTCCACTGTATATCTTTTATCATGACTTGTTGTACTTTGTCAAATGCTTTTTTCTGCATCCATTGAAAAGATCATATGGTTTTTTATCCGTTTTCTTGTTGCTGTGATGTGTCACATTTATTGATTTGTGAGTAACGAACACCCCGCATTCTAGGAATCCTACTTGCTGGTGGTGAATGATTTCTTAAAATATATTGTTGAATTAAGTTTGCTAATATTTTGTTGAGGATTTTTGCATCTGTGTTTTTCAGAGTAGTGGCCTGTAGTTCTCTTTTTTTGTAGTCTTTATCTGGTTTTGATATCAGGGTAATGCTGGCTTCATACAATGAGTTTGGAAGCTTTCCTTCCTCTTCTGTTGTGTGGAATACCTTGAGAAGAATAGGTATTCACTCTTCTTTACATGTTTGGTAGAATCCACCTCTGAAGCTATCTGGTTCTGGACTTTCGTTTGTTGGCAGTTTTTGGTTAACTGATACAGTTTCATTACTGTTAGTCAGTCTGTTCAAATTTTCTATTTCTTCCTGCTTTAGTTTGGGAGAGTTATATAGCTTTAGTTTTAGGGAGTTATATATTTCTAGGAATTTATCAGTTTCTTCTAGGTTGTCCAATTTGTTGGCATATAATTTTTCATAATATTCTCATATCTTTTGTGTTTCTGTGGTGTCGGTTATTATTTTTCTTTTGTTTCTGATTTTGTTTATTTAGGTCCTCTTTTTCTTTTGATGAGTCAAGCTAAAGGTTGATCAGTTTTGTTGATCTTTTCAAAGTACTAGCTCCTGGTTTCAGTGATCTGTTCTATTGCTTTTTAGTTTTTATTTTGTTTGTTTCTGCTCTAACCTTTATTATTTACGTCCTTCAACTAGTTTTGGATCTTGTTTGCTTTTCTTATTCTACCTCCTTTAGGTGTAAGGTTAGGTTGATTATTTTAGATTTTTCTTACTTCTTGAGGTAGACCTGCGATGCTATAAACTTCCCTCTTAGAATAGCTTTAATCACATCCTAAAGATTTTGAACTGTGGTGTTTTCATTTAATTTATCTCCATGTATTTTTTGATTTCTTCTTTGATTTCATGGTTGATGGTTGATTTCATTGTAGATCCATTCATTGTTTAGGAGCATATTCTTTAACTTCCATGTATTTGTGCTCTTTCCTGGGTCTTCTTGTGGTTGATTTCTGGTTTTGTAGTGCTATGGTTGGAAGATGCATTGTATGACTTTGATCTTTTACAGTTTGTCAAGACTTGTTTTGTGGCCTAATATGTGTTCTATTCTGGAGAATGTTCTGTGTGCACTTGAAGAGGATGTGTGTTCTGCTCTTTTAGGATGGAATGTTCTGAATATATCTGTTAGATCCATCTGATCCAGTGTGCCATTTAGAGCCACAGTTTCCTTGTTGATTTTCTGTTTGGATGATCTATCCATTGATACAAATGAGTTGTTAAAGTCCTTTATAATTATATTACTACTGATTACTTCCTTTATGTTTCTTACTTGCTGCTTTATGTATTGAGTATTTTGTTGATACCCATGTTTGGTGCATAAATATTTGTAACTCTTCTGTTCTCTTGTTGGATTGATCCTTAATGATATATACTGTTTAAAAGTCTAGTTTGCCCATTATAAATATTGCTATTCCAGCTTTCTTTTCACATCCATTTGCATGATAGATCTTTTTCCATCCCTTCATTTTTCTGTGTGTGTGTATCTTTAGATCAGAAATGAGTCTCTTGTAGGCAGCATAGACATGGGTCTTACTTTTTTATCTATTCTGTCACCCTGTGTCTTTTGATTGGAGCGGTTAGTCCATTTACATTCAAAGTAATTATTGATAGGTATGTACTTTCATTGCCATTTTGTTGCTTATTTTAGCATTGTTTATGTACTTATTCTCTGTTCCTTTCTTTAATTGCTCCCTTCTCACGGTTTGCTGATTTTCTTTAATGATATATTCGGCTTCCTTTCTCTTTATTGTTTGTGTATGTATTACTGTTTTTTTTATTTGTGGTTGCCATTAGGTTTGTGTATAACATTTTATGCATATAGCAGTGTAGAGTTGATGATTGCATAAGTTTGAACCCATTCTTTACTCCTCTGTTTCCATGTTTTATGTATGCGGTATTATACTTTATATCCTTTAATTTTGTGAATCCTTGATGGATTTTTATAGAAAGACTTAATTTTACTGCTTTTGTGCTTTCTGCTTTTCTTACTCCTGCTTATGGTCTTTCCTTTCCACTCAGAAAGTTCACTTTAACATTTCTTATAGGACTGGTTTAGGGGTGATGAATTTCTTTAACTTTCATTTGTCTGGAAAACTCTATGCAGCAAGGCTATCATTTGGAAGAGAAGATGAGAGAGAGTATTCCTGGCTGAAGAATTTTTTTCTTTCAGCATTTGAATACATCATGCCACTCCTTTTTGGCTTGCCAAGTTTCTGCTGAAAAATCAATAGATAGCCTTAAGGAGTTTCCCTCATATGTAACTGTTTTCTTTTATCTTGCTACTTCTAAAATTCACTTTTTTTCACTTCCTTCTGACTTTTTAATTACTGTGTCTTGATGTAAACCTCCTTATGTTGTTTTTATTGGGGGCTCTCAATACTACCTGGATCTAGATTTCTGTTTTCTTCCCCAGATTTGGGAAGTTTTCGGCTATTATTTCTTCAAATAAATTTTCTGCCCCCTTTTCTCTCTCTTCTTCTCTGGGATTTCCTATTATGTAAATGTTACTATACTTGATGGTGCCCTAAGTCTTCTCATTTTTTCCACCTTTCCTTTTCAGCTTGATTGCTTCCCATTATTCTGTCCTCACTTGCTGCTTCTTTCTTCTGCTCTATCTATTCTACTATTTCTTCCCTGTGTGTATTTTTAATTTTAGTTATTGAGTTCTTTATCTCTGATTGGTTCTTTTTAATGTTTTCTATCTCTTTGTTAATGGTCTCACTGAGGTCCTCCACTCTTTTCTCAAGTCCAGTGAGTATCTTTGTGACCATTACTTTAAATTCTCTACCAGGCATAACATTTAAAAAAAAAAAAAAAAAGGAGGCGCCTGGGTGGCTTAGTCAGTTAAGCGTCCGACTTTCGCTTGGGTCATGATCTCACGGTTCGTGGGTTCGAGCCCCGCGTCGGGCTCTGTGCTGACTGCCAGTTCAGAGCCTGGAGCCTGTTTTAGTCTGTGACTCCCTCTCTCTCTGACCCTCCCCTGCTCACGCTGTCTCTCTCTCTCTCTCTCTCTCCTAAAAATAAATAAAAAAACATTTAAAAAAAAAATAAATTCTCTACCAGGCATATTACTTACCTCCAATTTGTTTAGGTCTTTTGCTGTGATTTTGTCTTGTTTTTACACTGGGGACATAATTCCTCTCTCTCCTCATTTTGTCTAACTCTGTGTTTCTTTGTGTTAGGGAAGTCAGCTGCATCTTCTGCTTTTGAAGGTACTGGCCTTATGAGGAAGAGGTCATGTAGTGCCCTGCAGTGCAGTGTCCCCTGTTCACCAGAACCTGGCACTTCAAGGGTGTCTCTATGTGTATTGTGTGTGCCCCGCGCTATTGAGGCTGAGCCACTTTTTCTTTCAGGCCAGTTGTCTGCATTGGCTCTCTGCCCAGAGTGGGCAGCATTTGATTGTTATGTTGTTACTGGGCCAGTCTAGGGCCACCTGGGCTTGAGTCACTTCTGACTGGGGGTTTGCCAGAGAGGTGGTGGTACCAAACTGCTGGACACTACCCTTGTGTTCTCCCATGAGAAACTTTCATCGGTGGGTTCGTTAGACCAGCTGTCTGACTGCAGCCCACTGCTAGGGCCTCAGTCGACTGTGTGTGTGCTTGTCTTCCTTCTTCCCCTCCTTCCCCAGGGCAGGGTTCACGTTGCAGAAGTGCTGATCCCTGTCAGCACTGCTTGCCCCCTGCCAGCTTACAGTACTGGTTTGCGTGGGTTCTGGCCAAGGATGTCCTGGAGGAGGCAGGGTCCCAGGAGAGTACGGTCTCAGGGCAGGCAGTGTAGCAAGTTTTGCAGAGGTTTGCTGTGGGGGAAAGACCTGGAACCTGGAACCTGGAACAAAGGCTTGGCTGGAGGGGTGTGTCCCCAGGAAGAGGCAGGCACGCTGCTAGCAAGCTCGGTGGAGCCTATTGGCACCGAGCTGGGTCCTGCAAGTGCTCATGTGCCTAGGCAGCAGACCTGCTAGCTCTTGTCCCTGGAGAAGTCTCCTAAGGATCCAGCGCCATACCCCTCCACCCCCTACTCCACATGCTTAGAGATTAGTAAAGAAATCTCCCTCTTGTATACCCCAGGCATTTTTCAAAGTGTTGCTTCTAAGCTGTATCTCTGAGGGACGGCTGTACTCTTTAAGGGTGGGGCCTCAGTTTCCTATTGCCCTCCTGCTGATTTTTAGATGTTCAGGTGTTAAGCCCCCATGATGGTAAGAACTCAAATATGCTCCTCTGGTTTTCATGTGGATTCTTGTGTCTGGGGTGCTTGGTGTCAGGGTTGGGTCCTCTCCCCTGTGCATGTCCCTAGTGTCTCTCCCTCTTGGGGAAAGCCGGTGGGCTCGGTTAGCTCCCGACCATGTCTGTGCCCTTCCTGCCCTCTTCAGGGTGGCCTCCTCTCTACACTTAGCTGTGGAGAATCTGTCTGCCAATCTTCAGGTAGTTTTCTGGGTTATCTCCACAGTTGTGGGTGTTACCTAGTTGTATCTTGGGGTCTTCGTACTCTGCCTTCTTTCCCAGAAGTCAACCACAATTAACTCCTTATTGACTCTCAGCCAGCTGCCTGACATCGTGTCACTTCCAGCCAAGTAAGTGTTTCGAGCTGCTCTTTGTAGGCCTGGTGTGACTCTTAAGTCCTTAAAGAGCTTCACTCAACTGAAGGTTTTCCTTTTGATCCCCTGTCTCAGACATTCAGCAGTTTTCTCCTTATTCAGGTTGGTGTGTGGTTAATTTCATATCATCAAGATCAAAGTTAGGATTATGGCAGAATTCTTGAGCAGGTCTCTTAATTTTAAGATTCATTCTTTGCCATTTTTAGTTCCTTTGAATTTCAGGTGCCTGTTATTCTTTCTGCATTAAATTTAGAGAGAATAGACGATTTGCCACCCATTTTTTCCTGTTACTTAGTTTGTGAAGACGTTTACAGCATACTAATCATTTTCCTATTGGAATTACTTATGGGAGTCCCATTCCATACTGCAGGGGTCAGAGGAAACAAAGCCATGCCTGCCAGAAGTAAAATTTCATCCACAGAGGTCTTGAATCTAGAGGATAGTCACACATTTTTTCAGTCCTTTCTTATTCTCTAATCTCCTGATAGCGATAGTTTTAGAATTTAGAGGGGGGAATTGGAACGAGGGATTTGATGTGAGGACATGGGAATAGAACAGTCACGTGTGAAGAACTCATACCTAGCCTTGTGCATTCCTTTGTCTCCTCCTTCCTTCGCCTCCACCACTTGGCAAGCACTTGCTAACTAGTTAATGAATGAAGAAATGAGGCAAGACTCTGAAGGGGCTGTCAGATTGGTAACTACTCTTTATTCTATGAGACTGATTTCATTCCAGCTTTTTTCTCCTTTCTTAAAACGCTGTTAGATATTCAAAGAGACACTTTAATAATTTCCTCTCTGCGAGGGCAGAACGTAACTAAAGAAAATACCTATGTATAACACTGTTACATGATTTTATACAATTGTTCATGTTACACAGTGGAACTTGAAAAGCCGTTGTGTTTATTTATAGAAATGTGATGCAGGTAACCGCTTCAGTATCAAGGTTATTATTACCTCATAATTGCCATAGAAACTAGCACTGGCCATGGAAAAGTGGAGTCTTATTGGCTGGGTTCATAAAAGATGAAGCTAAATAAGCACGGTGGGAAAAAAATCAGCCCTTGTTTAACAAACTCACACGCAGGGTATGTAGATGGGGGTGGCTGGGGAAGGGTGGAGGTGGGCACACCGGGATAGAGGTAGAAGTTAGGAGAGTTGCAGGGAAGAGAGTGCTTGCATTTTCTAAGCTGCGTGAGAGTTGACTAACTGGGGACAAAGCCTGTTGTTCCACAATGCCAGTTTGTAATTTTCACACCTGATTTCATGTGCGTAAAACCAGATGTTAATGATGATTACGGCTTTCTCTCCTAAATTTCTAGACACATATCAGTATTAGCCGAAACAATTAAGAAGGGAATACACGACGCCGATTCCGAAGCAAGGATAGAAGCCAGAAAGTAAGTGTTTATTGTACACCACTTATTTTTAATCCACTGTTTTTATGTTTCAGATATTTAGACTGCCTTATTTTTTTTGTTGTGGTTTGTTTATTTTTCAGAGAGAGACAGAGAACAAGCTGGGGGGTGGTGCAGTGCAGAGAGAGAGAGGGAGACACAGATCCAAATCAGGCTCCAGGCTCCCAGCTGTCAGCACCGAGCCTGATGAGGGGCTCGAACCCGTGAACTTTGGGATCATGACCTGAGCCACAGTCGGATGCTTAACTAACTGAGCCACCCAGAAGTCCCTAAATTGCCTTATTAAAAAATTTGTTAAATGGGCAGCCTGGGTGGCTCAGTTGGTTAAGAGTCTGACTCCTGATTTTGGCTCAGGTCATGATCTCACAGTTTGTGAGATTGAGCCCCACGTCGGACTCTGTACCAACAGTACGCAGCCTGCTTAGCATCTTTTCCCTTCCCCTCGCTCTGCTCCTCCCCTGCTAGCACTCTCTCTCAAAAAAAGAAAACTGAAAAAACATCTTGTTAAGTTATATAAACAATGCTTTGTTATTCATGACTATTAAATATGAGCCCCAAAGCCGTTTCACAGTATTTCTCTCTCTCTCTCTCTCTTTTTTTTTTTTTGTGTAGAAGGTTGTTCAGTGCCCAGGCCTAAAAAAAGACTGATTGACATTTTTTTAATATAAACAGGTCTGAGGTATATAATAAAATGTTCATTTTTAAATTTATGAGAAATTATTCCACGAATCCAAAAAGCACTTGTTTGCATGCTCAGACTTACTCATTAGGCTCTGTTAAAAGCCAGGTCATAATCCAAAGGGACCTTTTGATTTTCCTTGAAAAATTACGGTCCCTGGGATCCTTCCCCTGAGAGGACAGCTTTGCAGGCATCAGGTGGCTGCTCTGGAAGTGAGAGGGTGGTGAGGGGCTGCAGGTGACGGGAAGCTGGGGCTTCCCACAGGGGTGATGCGGTGAGGGGCTGGCAGGCATCGGGAGACTGGGGCTTCCCGCAAGAGTGATGTACACTCGCCATCCCGCATTTGAGGCAGTTTGCCAAATTAGGGCTGGTCACGCTCCTCCATCCTGTGGCCGTGGCCATGCATTCAGTGCCCTCCAGAATAATTGTGTCCTTGTGACACAGGAATCAGATGCTGAGACTCACTCCAACTTGGGCAGCGTGTAGTAAGGGCTGTGAAACCCCCCCCGCCCCCCAGTCTTTCTGTCTTCCACCTGACACAGGTATTCTGTTCTCCTCACCTGGAACATTCCTATTTGACCTAGCTGCACTCACACGTCCTGGCCAAGTCTGTGCTGCCCTGTGGCTGCTCTCTCAGTTAAATGCCGTTCCCCTGGTGTCTGAGGTCTTAGGAGGACCTTGAAACGCTCCAGTGCTTGTCATACTCTCAGCTTGGGTAGTTTTTGCCAAACTAAGGCACCTTGCTGATGGACGTGAGTGACTATTAGGAATCGATTCGTTAGTCACCTGCATTAGCAACTTTTACCCTGGTGTGTACACCACCCTCCCTGGTGTTTTCTGGTTCTTGTGTCACTGTGCAGTGCAGACTTCAGGTAGCCAGGGACGTCTCTGCGCCGCTCTGCTGTACGTCCTCTACAACAACTGTAAATACTTCAAATCCACGAGCGTCAACAGCACGTGGAAGAGCTGCTGTCAACGAGTCCCCTCCATGTTCTGGGTCTAGTTCTAGATGTTTCAGCTCCATCCCCCCTAAGGTTAGGCCCTTTAGTATTCATTTTATAAACAAGACTGAGATTCAGAGAAGCCAGGTAACTTGTCCAGTGTCAGAAGAGCCAGCAAGTTGTGGGGCAGGATCTGTGCCAGGCTGCCTTTGTTCACTCTCCCCTCCGGTCCTGTGCCGCTCCCGGCAGCAGGCAGCCGAGGATTCTGGTCCCTGACCGCGTCCCGCGGTGGGCCGCGGCGCTGGCTGAAGGCCCCGCGTGGTCCTGACCGTGGCCGGCCGTGTCTCCGCAGGTGCTACTGGGGTTTCCACAGTCACTTCAGCAGAGAGGCGGAGCACTTATACCACACCCTGGAATCCTCCTACCAGAAGGCCCTGCAGTCCCACCTGAGGAATTCGGACAGCATCGTGTCCCTGCCGCAGTCCGACCGTTCGTCCTCCAGCTCCCAGGAGAGTCTGAAGTAGGCCCCCCGCTGTGCTTTTCTGCTTAGAGGTTTGCTCCATGAGAACACAGGTTCCAGCCGGGCTTTTACACATACATGCCTGGGCTAATCTCCCCTCCCCCCCGACGGGCTCCACTATGTAAGGTACAGTTGGGAACGGTCAGGAGTGGGGCCTCTGCCTCCGCCATGCGCAGTGGCTGCTGAGATTTACACGGCCGTCCCAGAATATGGGTTGCAGTCCAGTGAGTGAGTTCTCAAAGGGGTCTTCTGAGAGAATATGAGTGTCAGCTTGGCGACAGGTCTGAAAAGGGAGGTCGTTCGGCACCTGGGGGTAAACGTATTCTCGTCCTCGTGCTGTGTGTCTAAGTCCTGTCCCAGTTATGGCTGCGCTCTTATGTCTGGGAGGTGGTCCCGAATATCATGCTAAAGCTTTGTCCGAAGTTGGGGATTGATTAGATTGTGGTCCCAGCTACCTGAAAAATTCTGAAAATTCTGCAGTAGTTCCTTCAGCCTCCCAGCTTCCTGTGTAGACTGTACTTGTGTGGACGCAGAAGTGCCTCTTGGATAATACGAGACGTGTGTATACATTTCAGCCGGCCGCTCTCTGCCAAAAGAAGTCCTACTGGAAGCACCACCTCTAGAGGTAAGACTGGCGGCCGCGGAGGAGGTGGTCGGGGGCTGTCACTACCGCTCCCAGAGGCTGTTCTCTTGCTGGTGGCCGGTGACCCGCCTGAGGTCCCCCTCAGGTTTGCAGCGTGGGCCGCTCTCGGCGTTCCCGCTGGGGTTGGCAGAGCCCCGCCGTCCCGGGGACGATGGCTCTGAGGAACCCGCGCTCAGGCGGCCTTAGGCAGGCAGAAGTGGAGCCCCCTGACCTTTGCATGCCCATCCCCCTCCAGCATGTGGACTCTCCCCAAACAGTGCTGCCGCTTTGCCCTGGTCACTTGATAAGAGAGTGCAGACTGAGCGACAGCAGCAGCACAGCAGCTGTTAGAGGTGGGAGAGCGGGCCGGTCCCCGGGAGTGTTAGGGCATGTGAGTCAGGACACGCTTAGGCCCCGGCCTGAGGGAAGTGTCCACACCTGGGCGCTCCTTCAGGATCTCACTTCTCACGTTACCCAGAAACAGGATCCGTTTCTTTGGGGTTCATAGTCTCAAGGAAACAAATGTAAAGCATGTATGACTGTGGTTCTTCAGCGGTGGCTGAATTCTGTCTTCGGTGACCCGGAGATGCTGTGTCGGTGCATGTGCACTCCAGCCTTCATTACAGTTTGGTAGGAAGGACCAAATAATTTGGAATAGCGTGTGTTTACAGTTCTAGCGTAGTCCTCACTGACGTTTCCTCCTTTGCCTCGCAAGCTTCTACGGTCAGTACCAAGTCCGTGTCCACGACTGGCTCCCTCCAGCGGTCTCGAAGCGATATTGATGTGAATGCAGCAGCCAGTGCCAAGTCCAAGGTCTCGTCGGCCTCAGGCGCTACACCTTTCAGCTCTGCAGCAGCCTTGCCTCCGGGGTCCTATGCATCCTTAGGTAACTGGGCCCCCACCACCTTTTCCCCACAGCTGTGCTCTTTGAGATGACACTTGGCCCTGCTCAAATTTATGTAGCAAATCACACAACACCATCATTGAGGGAGTTCTCCCTGTTGCGGGGCTGAGTTTTAAGTATAAATAGCTGTGTGCACTTACTGCTGGTCACAGCCACCCTTTGTCGGGGGTTTCCTTTCTCTGGAGCATCGTCCTTTAGTGACGAGGAGGTTCTTGGGCACTCGTGTAGCGTCCCACCAACACACCGTTCAGCTTCGCTTTCTTTCTGGGCCGCCCAGCCAGCACCTCATCACCTTCCACATTGCCCGTGATGGGGGTGGGGGCAGGGCCACAACGGTTTCGCGACGGATTGGCCGAAGGCAGTCACAGTGGTTCGGTGTCCCCAGCTTGGGAATCTGACCGGAGTGGCTGGGGTGCAGGATTGGGGGGCAGCAGCAGGGCGTCTCCAGAGAAACGCAGTGGCTTAGGAGCCAGCATAATCGTGTTCCTCGCAAGAGGGCTGGGGGCAGAGTGTACTTACTCCTAACAGTAAACCAAGGGTTGTTTTAAAACATTATATAAAAAAACATCTATCTGACGGAATGATAGGTCAGTTTCTCAGTTTTTCAGCAGACAGCTGAACACCCGCATGTAGGGCTGATAGTTTATCTCTTTTTATTTTCTTAGAGCAGAGTCGTTCGAGCCAGAACCTGGGGACTTAGCTGGATTGGTTTTATTTTGGATTTTATGGAGCTTGAAATACATACAGTTTAAACTTCATGAAACATTGAGGCTGAATTACTTTATGTGGTTAACAAACCAATTCCAAAGTCTTTTTCAAAACGGACGTTCCAAAACCGTTCTGAGCGTGGCAGCACCATGCCAGAGCACCAAGGGAAGATTACTGGGCTGCTGATTATTAGCCTGGGGACCTTGAACGGGCCATGCAATCTCTGAGTCTGGTTTTTCCACGTAATCAGTTGTGGTGACAGTCACCCAGCTCAGACACCTGAGCGGGATACATTGAATACTTTAATAGAAGTCCTTTGTAAGCTGTTATCCTCTAAGGTGAAAAAAACTGATTGTGCTAGACACATTAGAATGTGAAAGGTATGTGTTCTGGAATGTTCGTTAAGTCAGTCTTGTTTTCTGTATGCAAATACCTTAAACACAGGTACATATTGATTGGAAAGCAGCCAATAAGTGCCCTCCCTTTCTCCCATTTTACTACTGGGACAGTACAGTGGAGTGTTGATGACACTAGGTTGGTACGTAGTCATCGAGGAAAGGGGATGTCAGAACGGCTGTCTCCCAGGGTGGAGTAGCTGTGTTCATGTTAGTTCACCTTTTAAATCTGTACCTGTGTTTCCATACATTTGCTCGAACTTGAGTATCTGTAATTAGTATTTGTTTCATTGCTTGAAAACTCGAGTAAACACCATCTTTTAGAGTCCTCTGTAGTCTTTGTTTTTCTGTGCACATTTGGGATATTTTAATATGGACCGGATAGACCCCCCTCAGTGCTAGCAGAAGCACCTGGGTCTTCTGGGCTGATGGTACAGGTTGACCTTTTACAAGCACTGATGATAAGTTTTCAGCCCAGCATTAGCTCTTCGGATAATGGGACCGGAATGTCCCCACTCTCGGCATTTCCGAGAACTCTGCCTCTATTGCCTCGTGTCCAAAGCACAAAACGACAAAGCACCCGGGAAGTTTAACATAATCCTACTGAGAAATTGTTACAGTTACTACTTAGGTCGGCACATGATAGCTGTGCTGAAGTGTAGCATTAAAGCTGACGATCTTTTCCGAACTTCTAGAGTCCAGACACATGAGGGAAGATATGGAGTCCGTAGGCCATGACTCAGGTACCCTGCTGTACAGCTTCTGCTGCGCACCGTGTAGTTGGGTAGGCGCCATTGCCAGAGCTAGCTTCTCTCAGCTTCCCTTCTGCCTCTGTTCTATGGGGGACTCTTCCGTACTTTAGCTTGTGGTGTTTCCCCCTTATTCTGCTGGTACTTGGTGCTAAGAAAAAGAGACTCTGAAGAGGATGAGGGTTGGCCAAAACCAAAACCAACAGTATCAACGGAGGCACTGCCCCAGGCTGACATGTTTTAGCTTGTTTTCCAAAAGCAAAAGTGACATTCTACTAAGCTGATTTTAATACGAGGCACACGTACTTGCTTCAGAATCTGCTTTGCTGTTGAACTTGTTTCTTTTTTTCTTTTATTTTAAATTGTATTTTTGCTTTTTTAGTAGCTAATAACATTCTGCTTTTTAGTTTTTTTTTTTTTTTTAAATGTTACTAACTGTTCCCTGTTATCCCCTCCCTTGTTTTTTAATTTGCTTAAAGACGGTACTTCCACTAAAGCGGAGGGTAAGCGGTTTGTTTCTGTGACTGAGGTGTGTGTCGCCTTCACCCGTCCTCTGTGCTCACTGAGTGCTGCCTGGTGCCCACTCGCCCCCACACGGGTCCCCGCATGACACGCTGCACGTTCCCTCCACTCTTCTTCATTCTGTCCCCCCTCTCCCGTCTGCCCCCCCCCCCCCCGAGTCCTCCTCACCCTCCTTGTTCTGTCGTGGTTCTGGTGAGTCTGTCACTCGTGTGCTGTTCGTGGTTTCCGGCTCCCGGCCTGGCCCGGCCCGGGGAGGAGCACTGTCCGGATGCTGGAGGCTGCCTGCCATCCCGTGGGTGCTGCTCTCAGATCTTAGTGCTCCCGAAGCACCCCCTTCGGGGCTTCCCTTCCCTTCTCTTTCCTCTTCTTGACCTTTGTGCTTCTGTGGGCCTCTCCTGTTTTGAAAATAAATTCGGTGTTGTTTATTTAGGTTAAAGGCCGGTAAAGGTTTTCTACCAGGTAATTGATAGAAATTTCTAAAAAATAACTTTTCTCTTCCCAAAAGATGCAACTGAATCACGTGTGTCATTTTTATGTGTGTCACTGACACATACCTCATTCATTCGTTGACCCTCAGTCTTCCCCTCACAACCGTGTATTAAATGCCTACCACGTATTAAATGTGTCGTATTCTGCACTCCACACAGGCTCTGGCATGGTGAACGAAACACACACATCCAGATCCTCTTTGGTTTCTTTTTATGCCATTCTCCAGAAGTTTTTCCTGATTCTGCATTGTCTTTTGATTTTAAGACATAACCATTTTGGTCTGTATAGCTCTTGGATTAGCACATGCTAGACTAGACTGTCCCTTTGCACAGGCTCTACCTGGAGAGCAGGATAGTGCCTCAAATAATTGAAATTTAGAGGAACATCATGTGCTTAAGATAGTGGCTTAGACCCACCAACCCTCAGCCTGAGATTGAACACCTGGGAATTGCTAGTTTACTTTCATACATTATTTAGCCACTCCAAAAGGCTAGCCTGCAGAGTGGGCTGGGTCTCTCCTTGTCTGTGCAGTTCACAGTGTTAATCAATACACTACTTCTTCAGGGACTCATAAGGGAAGAATTAAGAATGGAATTTTTCTAAAGATGAGCATAGTCCCAAGGTCTGTGTTCTTCAAACTTACCTCATAAAAAGTACCTGGAGCTTACTAAAGAAACAGCGCCCTGGGTCCTTCCCCTTGAAAATCAAGTTTGGAAAGGGCAAAAGAATCTGAATTTTCAGTTAAGCCCCAGGCATTGGTGGTTCTTAGGGTGGGACAAGTGTGTGAAGTGAAAAGTTCCCCAGATGAAAAGTGGATAAGAAGCCTGTGTCACAATGAGGAGCCCCTTTGTGAGAGCGGAAGACCAACATGGCTGACTGCGACTGCGTTTTTTAGCCAGTAATGAGGAGTCACACTTTTCTCCTTTCCACAGAAATAACCCTCCATGTTTGCTCAGCCTAGATGGAAGCGAGGTGGAGGGCAGAATTCCATAACATAGAAAGGAAAGTGAAGATGTTCCAAGGGAGATTGGTTTTTTTTCCCCCCAGGTGCTATAATTTTACATGCCTGTGTGATAAGACTTGAAACCAGCACTAGGAATTTCTCAATTCTATTTCTTTTAATCCGTTTTCTTCTTACCAGTGCAGAGCAAGGTCAGAAGATTGCCCACTCAGTTATTGTGCAGGGGACAAGGAACGAGGGGTCTCTTTCTGGTTCTCCTTCCAGTAGAAGTGGGAGAATGAGATGGGGGCCCTTTGTTGTACAGGGTTCAGGATCTGACAGAAGAGGGGCACAGTGAGGGGAGCTGGTGGGCCTTTTGCTCTGGGTCCCAGGGCTGTGCAGGCTGTCGAGAGCCGGACATCAGTGCCTCGGGCCTTGTGTGCCCACGAAACGGAAAGGACACAGTGCTGGGGGGCCACACACCTCACACTGCAGACGCCCGGCTGTGTGAGCAGTGAAGCCTGGCGGTACTCAGAGGGGCTGTGCACGATGTTAGGAAAGGCAGCAGTAAAGTCCTCACTAGGCCCGAGTTTCCTATCTCAATTTTTGGAATCATTATCGGCCTTTTAAAAATTTGTTAAAAAGCCTATGAAATTATTTTCCTGTCTAGCTCCCAAAGCAAGAAGAGACAGGTGCTTTTGTCATGAGGAGACAAAGTTGTGACTTGGAATCAGTAGTTGGATGCTCTAAATTCAGCTAAGGCATCTGGATTCTGGCAACGTTGTTAGGGTAGGAATGGAGGAAAATATGCCTCCTTTGGGTTTCTTCTTAGGCTACACACCAAGTAGCCTTTGTCACGTTTATAACTAGTCAGAAAATATTTTTTGTGAAGAACCAACAGAAGCTAGTCTTTTGGACAGAAGCTTATTTCCAGGTTTCTTTTGAATAATTTGGGGCATTTTAGAGAGAAGCATTCATGCCGTTGGTTTTGGCACTCACGGGAAAAACCTATGATGAGGTGCTGCAGCTGTGTCAAATGAGTACATTCTCGTCTAATACTGGTATTATTTTCGTTGTTTGTTTTTGGGGCTTGGGGTTTTTGTTTGTTTTAGCTACTGTGTTTAGGAAATGCCTTAGTCATATATTTTCCCAGAACAGATAATTTTAAATGAAAAGCTATCGGGCTGGAATGACCCATGGGGAACTGATGACTTATTGATCGTTCCAAAGGATAGATGATCTTATGTTATTAAGTCAAAGGCCATGCTTAACTATGGGTGGTTTTAAGATTACAGAATAAAAATGATGTAACCTTGTCTGCTCTTTCGGAAAAGGAATTTAGATTTTAGTTTAGTTTTATTGGGAAATAAAACATTTGGTACTGCTTATATATTTATCCAAGAACTCTGACTTTTACACAGTGGAAAAAATAGGTGTTTGTATATTGGAGTAAAAGAGTGCTAAGATTCTTTTAGTTTTATCTTTCAAAAACCATGAGGAAGCTTGTTCTTTGAGAGAAGTGCTTGTAGGTAACAGAATTTAGAAGTGGTCAACTTCCCAAATTTTGATTTTATCAAAAATGCCACTCATGAATTGAGGTCGGTTCAATTATGCCCGGAAGCTGGGAGTTATAGAACAGATATATATTCCGGAATGCCCCTGTGTGACGATAGAGATTTATCTAGAACTTTAAATCTTGATGACCTCTAAATGGAGATTGCCTGAAGTTTTGCAACATAAAGGGGACAGAAACCCTAGTGACATGACACTATCTGATAAGTGATTTTTTTAAATGTCTGTTTATTTTGAGGGAGAGCATGTGCAAAGTGCACACGTGTAAGTAGGGAGAGAGAGAGAGGGAGAGAGAATCCCAAGCAGGCTCTGTACTCACATTGCACGTGGACACAGGACTCCACCTCACAAACTGTGAAATCACAACTTGAGCCAAAATCAGGAGTCCCAACCCGACCGAGCCACACAAGCGCCCCAGTTAAGTGATTTTTTAATTGCCTTTGTCTGAATGTAGGAAAACCATGCCTCTCTGTAAGTTAATCTGGGTGCATAGGTTTTGTTTCCCAGTTTGAGGGCTGGCTCTTCTGGAAGAATCGGGAGTGTGATGGAAACAAATTCTGCAGCAGGTTTATTAAAAAGCCACTCAGTAAGGCTGCTCTGTCTGTATCCCGTGAAAGTCAAAGGCTGCCCTCCTCCACTTCTTTTTTTCTGGGTCTGCTTTTCTTGTTTCTTGTCCATCTCCAGAGGTTTTTTTTGTTGTTGTTGGACAGATCTCTAATAACTCTTACTTCTTTTTCATTTTATTTTTAAATTGTTATTATTATTGTTATTATTTTAGAGAGGGTGCAGTAGGGGGAAAGGGACGGAGGGAGAGAGAGAGGGAATCTCAGTCAGGCTGCACGCTCAGCACGGAGCCCAACGCAGGGCTTGATCCCACAACCTTGGGATCATGACCTGAGCTCAAATCAAGAGTCAGACACTGAACCAACTGAGCCACCTGGGTGCCTCTATCTCTTATTTCTATTTATCTTCCATTGTTTTTCTTTCATATCTACTCATTCTTTGTCATAACACAGTATAAGTGAACATGAATGTCAGTAATGGGTCGTAATGTAGAACTGAAGTATAGTTTTACTTTTTGTTGCATTTATTGAATAGACTTTGTTTTTCCTAAAGACCACAGAGTATTTTATATCTCTTTAAAACATAATGGCACTTAGAGTAATGTCATCAAATTAATACAGTGAAATCTACATACAAAAGAAATCTGTATCTGAATACAACACAAAAGAGGCCCTTTTTATTCCCTGAGATTGGTTTTAAGGGTGCTCTGAGGTCTTAGTAACCCATGTGAGTCCCCCAGGGACTGGAAACAAGCCACTGTGCTGCCCCAGGTGAGAGGTAAGGTTGGTGTCAAGCCAGCATTTCCGAGGTGCTGTAGATCCATGAAAAGGTGGACTAGAAACAGAACTCTTTATTTTCAGGTTGATGTGGTATCTCATGGCTCCACGCTAGGCAGGGGAAAAACCAGCCTCCCCTAATTTGTAACTGAGCTCTCTTCTCCCGCAACTTGTACCTTCAGTTTTTATTATCTGTGGTGTCTGGGAAACCCCAGCCTGATGAAATAAAGTGCCCTGGGTTTCTAGCCCCCAAGGGTGCCTGACGGGAATGGTGAACTTTTACAGAGGAAGACCCTCAAACCTGGTTCCTCGGGGTCCCCACAGATTAAAACATGCGGGCTCTTAAGCCATAATTGCATCAGTAATGAGTGAGAAGCAGCAGAGGAAAAGAATACAAACATATTTACTCCTTCAGGACTTAAGGACCTTCTATGTAATACAAAGTAATTAAATGTTTAAGAGAAATCAGTTTATTTTTAGCATCATGTAGGATTGAGTCGTCTGAAAGATCCTCCCTGTTAAGAACACAGCACTGATACAGAATAAAAACAGAGAATCTTCAGACCTAAGCAGAAACAGAAACCCTAGCCAGTGAGTATCCAGGCTGGTTTGTACCCTGAGGTTTTTGGCTGAATGTCAA